GGCGTATCCTCACCCCTCGTCGCTTGAGGGCCGCCGCCTTGTGCCAGCGTCCTCGAACAGTCTTAAACCGTCTGGCTCTGGTGGCCTTCTTCCGAGGGCCCTGGGGTTGGTAGTCCACGCCCAGCCATCGCTCGCTCTCGCCGTGCTGAAGGCCAATGTCCGCCATGGGCTGAGCCAGCTCCTGTGCCAATGAGACGTCGCTGGAGACGAACTTCGACTTGCCTCCCTCGACCTTCGAGACCTTGAGCTGCAGCAGCGACTCCAGGAGGTGGATGAGGGTGCGGGCCAGGTCGGGGAAGATCACCTTCAGCTGTGTGCTCCTGCCCACCATCCGCAAGGCTAGGTCGTCCACAAACTTGGTGATCTCCAGCTTAGCACCTGGCCATCGGGCCACGACGTCCAGTATCGGATACAACGCAATCTTCAGGAAGCGGTTGGCATACTTCGACCCAGCGGGCAGCCCCACGTAGGTGCATATGGCGTCGGCAACGGCTTGGCCCTTACGTACCGCCCGAGGGAAAGCGTACGACTCCAGTGAGAGGGCCAAGACACCCATGGGTGCTTGCTGCACCAAACCGAGAATCCAAATCAAATTTAGCGCAACATATTCGTACGCCTTCTCCAAATCCATCAAAGCGGTGAGTGACGCAAAACAGGTACCTTCCAGGGTCTCGTCGTCCAGCATCGCTCTCCAAACAGCATGCTCACTGCTGCGCCCTGGTGATGCCCAGTCGTAGGGCCTCACGTGTGCCCGCTCCCATCGCCGAACCAAAGGATCACGAACGGCCTCCCAGATGCGTACTGGCGTGGGGAGAAGGGTGATGGGCCTGCCGCCTCCGTCCTCCTTGGCGACCAGGAAAAGTATAAGCATGCGTATGGCCGTGGGCCACGAGCAGAGCCGCTCACACAACATGAGGATGTCCCCGAGGCTGGTCAAGGCCTCGTCACTGAGCCAGGCCAGGTGCCCGAAGTGCCAGCCGTCAAGCCCAAGCCCCGTCTTCCACTTGTAGTTGCGGCAAATTGCGCGCACCTGCACCGCGTCGATGATGGGCAGCTCCTGCACGTGGGCCATCCGCTGGGCCTGGACCCGGGCGTCCTGCCACAACTTGGTGTAGTCACCTGACCCCGCGCGCCAAATGCCAGCCCACTCCTGCGCCTCCTGGTTGACCGCGAGCTGCGGATCCGATGGTAACTTCCGCTTCTTGGCCGACGAGATGGGCTCCTTCCACGCCTGCTTCCAGTGGCAGATGCGGTGCAGGTCCCCCCCCGAGCCAGGGAACTTCGCACTCAGGCGCTCGTAGAATCGCTTGGACCGCTGCCGCATGAGGTGTTGTTCCCAGGTCTGGGCCCTCACCTTGGCGAACTGCTGCAGCGCGAAGATGGCCTGCGCGCCCATGAAGTGGGGCTCCACGTCGGAGAGGATGCGCAGCGTGGGCAAGGAACCCCGCGCTCCAAGGCTCCATCTGGTCCCAGTGGTGCCTCGCCTGGAACAGCTTCCTCCAATCCCGTCTGAGCTGGCCCTTTACCTCCTCGTTGTAGGATCGAGGAGGCTCTTCTCCCGAGGTGGTGTTCTGGCCTGCAAAGGCCTCCGCCTTGGCCATGGGCACAGACTGGCCCCGCAAGACACAGCAGACAAGTTGGCCAATCCAGGCCAGTTCTCCCGCGGCCCAGCGCCAGGCCCTGGCAGGACCTCGGTCGGCCACTGGGCTGTCATGCTTCGGAAAAAGCTGTCTCTGCACCACCTCGGGAGTCAAGCCTCGGCCTTCATACCTTCCTCCTCCTCCTCCTCCTCCTCCTCCTCCTCCCTCCTCTCCTCCTCCTCCTCCTCCTCCTCCTCCTCCTCCTCCTCCTCCTCTCTCCTCCTCCTCCTCCTCCCTCCTCCTCCTCCTCTCCTCCTCCCTCCTCTCCTCCTCCTCCTCCCTCCTCCCTCCCTCCTCCCCTCCTCCTCCTCCTCCTCTCTCTCCTCCCTCCTCCCTCCTCCCTCCTCCCTCCTCCGCCTCTCTCTTTCTCAATAAAAGGACGGCCGCGTGCACGGCAGGCCCAGGGGGCGCCCGCTTGTCCAGGGGGGCGCGCACCCTCCGAGCGGAGGCAGATGCCTGCCAGGGGCCTGCTTGGCGGCGCGCAGAGGGGGGTCGAACCCCCCGAGGTCGTCGACCCCTCCCCCTGGACCGGTTTCTCCTCCCGAGCCATTTTGGTGAACGCTCCGAGGGGCCCCGCGAGGGCCCCCCGGGGGCCGAGGACGGCGAAGAACCTCCCGTCGCGATGTTTTCCTTGGCATCGCTCGGACGTGTGCATTTCTTTCTCGGCGAGAAGCGTCGAGGACCATCCTGGACCATCGAGCCAACAAAACTCAGCCACGCGCAGAGGGGGGTGGGGGGAGGGGGGGGGCTTCTTAGAAGCACCCCTGCTTCTTAGAGGGCGCGGGCCTCGTCTACAAATGTAAGGCTGGCGCCTTCTAAGAAGCAGCCTCCTTCTAAGAAGCCTTCCCCCCTCCCTCCACCCCCTTCCGCGCGCCGCCAACCCGTGCAGGAGAATCTCGGGGACCGGGTGTCCAGTAATTAGTGGGCCCTGGAAACGACAGCGCCGTCTTTTTACCGGTTCCGTTTTGCCGTTTTTTACCGGTTCCGTTTTGCCGTTTGTTTACCGGTTCAGTCGCCGTTTTTTGACCGGATCTGGCTCCGGTTCCAATTCTGGAGCCGTTGTTTTGCTGTTTCCGGTCGCCGTTTTCTTGCAGTTTCCATTTTCAAGGGACATTTTTTCGGAAACGGTGAAAAAACGGCCCTGCCGTTTCCGGGGCCCACAAAGGTCCAGTATGCTCCGAGGAGGCCCTAAAAAGGTCGCTAGAACTTGAGCGCGCGCGAAGCGCGCGCGATGGCGCTAGTCAACACATATTCAACATTGGTAGACTATCGTCCCCTGACTGCTGTGTTGTTGAAAACAATTGTTTCATATTCCTCCTGTAGAGGGACAGGCCAGACTTGCGGAATAGCCCAGGGGAGAGCAATACACGCCGGTCGGAAGAAGTATGTAAAAACATGAAGTAGGAAGGCGGATCAAGTGGATTGGGTCCAGGCCCTCCAAGATAATAACAAAACACTGCAAAAAAAACATGTCGATTCTTGAAGCAGGAAGGCGCTTGGAAAAGATTGGGATCTGGGGATCTAAAAATACCTACTTTCCACGACCAGCGTGTACCGTCGGGGCGCTGACCTGAGTGAGTATCGTTTAACCGATCCCCATCCCCAGCGGCGTGGCCTGGGCCCCACTGGCCGACTTGCCCCCCTAGATGGGGATCTGGGTCGTTCCCTTCGGGTTTCCAGGGACTGCATCCCCAACTGGGGTGGTGATTTGGTGGGGGTCTCGAAGGGGATGGGGATGGGGATGGGGATTGGTCAAACGATACCAACTAAGGAACGGTAAAGAAGGATCGAGGCCCATTTTTCCCATGCGTCAAACTTCGATGTCCCAGGGAAGACCTCGGGAAGACGTGAGGCAAACTGTAAGACAATCAAGGAGCACCGAGCCCCTCCCCAACGAGAAGGGTTCCTTCTTGAGTGCCCAGACCGTATTGCAGCATGATTGATGCATCCCGAGTTGACTCTCGTCCTCTTCCATCCCCTCGTGACGCCCCCCCTTATCACCGATCTTGCCACCCTCGCCCTCCTCGCATGCCGGCGATGCCATCCTCATCCTTCTACTACTGGTCCATCTCATACCTCTCCTGCCCGTCGGCAACGAGCGGGTCCTCAAGGAAACTGGTCCTGGAACCCAGGGCGTGTCCCCGCCGTCGACTGTCCATCCCGACGACCCTGCTGTCTACCGTACAGCCCTCAATCCCAGACGGGGTCCGAATGGGCCTCTCGGGGTCCGTGCCCCCGGCTGAGCAAAGAGGATGAAAAAGAACAGCGCGCAACCAACACTAGAGTCGGGGCGTTGACCTCAGGAACCCTAAATAAGGAACGAGGCCCCTATGTTCCATAAGTTAACCTTCGATTTCCTGTCGAAAACAGAAGGAAAGCCTGAGGCAAGCTGTGAAACACTTAGGCAACGCGGAGCCCCTCCCCAACGAAAAGGGTTCCTTCTTCAGGGCCCCGACTGTAGAGGGGGGACACAGAGCACAGGGGAAGGCCAGTGCGGTGAAGGCGATCGGTATAGGCTCGTGCTGTCGGAGCCCAGGGGTGCTCCCTTTCGAGCGGAGGCTCCCGTCCAGCACCGCGCACGTTTTTAGCTGAAATGAAACTTTGGCCACGAGCTGGGAAGATTGGCCTGGATTACGGGGTCGAGGGCTTCTGAACGTTCGTGGCACAGGGACTCGCCGAAGCATCTGGTCAAACTTCGTCCCTGGAGTCCTGCTGGGGCAATGCTACGAGCAGCGTCCGGCCGTGGCGACAGAGGCCAGCCCTCCCAAACAGCTCTCCGAGATCCTGATGACGCGGAGGCGTCGCGAGCGGAGCAGCGGCAGCAATGCAGGGGGAGGGGAACGACACGCGAAAGAACCATACAAAACTCAGAGGCCCGCGCGGATCCCTCGGCTCGGCGCCGGACCCCCCTCCCTGGCGGGCCGAGGCGCCGCCAGGGGCGGCGCCAACTCCGATCCGAGGACTCCGCGCGGGCCTCCGAGCTTTCATGTCCGTGCCACCTCGGGGGTTGCGAAAGGTGCCCCTGGCTCAAGGTGCCCCCAGCTTTTCGTTCCATTTTGGGGCCCCTGGGGCCCCCTGGGCCTCGTGAGGGGTGCTCTGAAGGGCGCGGGGGCGTCCTCGGAAATCCTTGGGGGCACCTTGGGCCAAGGACACTTCTAGCAACACCCGAACTTCTCGCTCCCCCAAAAGAGGGGGCGCCCGCCTCTGCAGAGATGGTGCCGCTCTCGTCGCGGTCCCCCAAAAGGGGGGCGCGGAGGAGGAGGAGGAGGAGGAGGAGGAGGAGGAGGAGGAGGAGGAGGAGGAGGAGGAGGAGGAGGAGGAGGAGGAGGAGGAGGGAGGAGGACGAGGAGGAGGAGGAGCCTCTGCAGAGATGGTGCCGCTCCCGTCGCGGTCCCGCTTCCGGAACTCTGCCGTGTACCTGCGCGCGCGCTCAATGGGGGGCCACGGGGCGGGCCACGGGCAGCCGCGCGGCGGCACCTCGCCGGACCGGCCCAGCGCACGAGGCGGCCACGAGGCGGCCACCGCACTCACTGTTTTTATGGAATCGACCCACCTGCACATATACACATACCTGTACGATGCACACATACACATCTTTGTACACATGCAGATACATCTCTCTCTATATATATACACATATACATACACACATATATATATATATACACATACATACAGCAATCGCTGGTTACACGTTTGTGCAGCTACGTGCGCAGGCGTACGTATCTCTGTGCATGCCTGTTTTTCCCAACCATCCTGTGGTGTTGGGTCCTCGTTTTGAAGAGACGGTCCTCGCGTTCTCCTCCTCTCGTGCCCCCCCCTCCTCCCTACCGTCCGCATGCGTCCCGCACACCCAGTACAGCGTTTCGTGGCCCCATAAGGAGCCCCACCGAAGGTCCCAGTGCTACCGTCCGCAAGCGTCACGCACACCCACTACAGCGCTTCGTGGCCCCATAAGGAACTCCACCGAAGGTCCCAGTGTTACCGTCCGCATGCGTCCCGCACACCCACTACAGCGTTTCGTGGCCCTTCTCCCCCTCCTCCCTGCGTTTCACCCACCCAATACAGCGTTTTGTTGCCCCATAGGGAGCCCCACCGAAGGTCCAGTGCTACCGTCCGCATGCGTTTCACCCACCCAGTAAGGCGGTTCGAAGGCCCCATAGGGAGCCCCACCGAAGGTCCCAGTGCTACCGTCCGCATACGTCCCGCACACTCAGTACAGCGTTTCGTGGCCCTCCTCCGCCTCCTCCCTGCGTTTCACCCACCCAGTACAGCGCTTTCTGGCCCCATAGGGAGCTCCACCGAAGGCCCCAGCCCAGGGTCCCCGTCGGCATGCGTCACGGAAGCCCAATTTGGCATTTTCATTCACCCACTGCAGCGTTTCGTGGCCCCATACGCGGCTCCATCCAAGGCTCCAGTGCCACCGTCCGCATGCATCCGGGAAATGTAATTTGGTATTTTCACCCGCGCAGTGCAGCGTTTCGCGGTTCCATAAGGGGGCTCCACCGAAGCCCCCAGTGGGACCGTCCGCATGCGTCCCGGTAACCCAATTTGGCATTTTCACTCACTCAGTAGAGCACTTCGTGGCCCCATAGAGAGCTCCACCGAAGCCCTCAGTGGGACCGTCCGCATGCGTCCTGGAAACCCACTTCGGCACACCACCCACAGTACAGCGTTCCCCCCAACCCAGTGCAGCGCTTCGTGGCCCCATAAGGGAGCTTCACCGAAGCAGATATGCACAATTACGCTTGCGACCCATCACGGCCACGAGGACCGGGTCCCTCACGACAAAACGTGCTTCAAGAAAAACATTAGAACAAGACGCTGTACAAGATGAGGTCGAAGCATAACACGGCGGCCGCAAGGACGCGATAGCGAGGCGTAGGCCCGAGGGCCCCCACGCCCCGCGCCCGCCCCCGCAAGGGCCGTGCCAGTGGTAGGAGATGACCCCGTGGGGTCCGGCCTGCCAGCCAAAATGCCACTCGAACGCGTCCAACGTGACTGAAGGCGCCGATCCCGGAGAGACCACAATACGGCCACTCTCTGACCCGTGAACGTCTCCATAAAGGATCGCCGGTTTAGCCCCCCCCTCCCATGGTTGTCCAACTGTTGACCGGCCAAAGCCCATGGGCAAGTGCACAAGGCCTGCATGTAGAACACGAAATAATGCCACCGCCGGCAGTAGCTCCCACCACCGGGAGAGATCGAACTCAAGGGTCGTCTCGTCCCCCACGGCCGCTGTAAGTGTCGTGAGGCGAGGAGTTTGAAATACGAGGAGGAGCCCACTCCTCGGCGGCCAACAGTACTGCCTTCGGCACGATGAGCAACGTGACCAGGCTCCCACCTCGGTGAAGCAAGCTTCGGTTATGACGAAGTTGTAGGGGAGTTGGTCGATACAAGGGTGAGCCACGTTAAGCCTCCTGTACAACTTGCATCGCTTCTCTTGCCACCGTAAGAGGTTCCCCACTGGCAAGTATGCACAATTACGGTACCCACAACTGCATATGGTTGGGACCTTCGCCTGGATAATGATTCTTCTCTCTCTCTCTCTCTATTTCTCTTTCTCGCTGAATATGTGTTTTGATGCTCGTTGCTGTGGTGACCTCGATCACCGCTGCGAACGACATCGCGTCGTTGGCGGAGGATGGCAACTGAACATTCGGCACTCCTCTACATAGCACTCATATCACATGCTACATCGCGCGCACATCATCTGGAGCGGCGGGGTGGCAGGAGCGCTGGCAAACTCATCCCGTGAGGGCTGGCCGTCGGCGAAATCTACGGCTCCGATCAGCTGGCGGACTGACGCCCGAGGTGGCTGTGGCCAAAACCTGTCGTGCTACCTCCGCTAGCGGACTCCGTCCGAATGGCGACCGATCTGTGTCCGCTCGTGGCACACGTATTGGAGAAGTCCACCATCTGAAGAGCACGAAGAGCCCAAACTCCTCACACATCACCCTGCACCTGAGAAAGGCTCGCAGAGGGCGTCACAACTTCTCTGGCTCGCTGTGTAGCGAACGGAAGAATGAGAAAGAGAGAAAGATGGAGCTTGCACGGGCGCAGAGATTGCAACGCGAAGAGGGTAACACGCCGCACTGATGGACATGACCATCCTGCTTCTCCTCCGCCCCCTCATCCCACTCCCTTCTTCTCGCGGCGATCCAGGGACGGGGGGGTGCTTGGTCAGCTCGAAGTCCTTGAAGTCGAAGAACTGACGCATGCCGCAGAGGGGCGGGCTTTTACTAGAGATACCAGCCAAGCCGAACATCGGACGCACGCCAAGATGGATTACTGAAGGGGCCCCAGGACACGCAAATAAATACACACAAATAAAAATATCCACAATTTTTTATATGTTCTGGGTTTTTGTCTTCGCCCCCACTTCCCATATTTTTCCATATTTTCTGGGAGATCGACGATTAATTGTGTCTGTGTGTTTTTTCCCCTCCTGAATTACGCATGCGCGGATCCGGCGCTTGGGCAGCAGAACCACGGACCAGGGCAAGCACGCTCGAAGCGCGGCTCCAATGCCGCCCTACTTGGCGACGGAGCGCGCCAAATCTGCACGGACACGGGGCCCGCCGCTGATCCATGCGCCTTCCTCCACGTGTTGCGAGCTCTACCACATCTACTGCACCACCCCCTTGTCGCTGGACCCCCTTTTGGGTCAACCCGATCCCCCCCAAAACACGCGCCAGATTGGCTTTTGAGCAAGGACCGACCGTCCCGGCATCCCTGCTGGCCTGCCGCATGTTCTTGGAGCATACGCCCGACGTGCTGAAGCAAGGTTGCATCAGCAAGACACGGTCTAGGAACATTGCATGCAGACCACACAAGGATCCTAGAACATTATTTTGTGGGCGTATGGGCTTAGATATGTGTTAACAAATCGTGCCTCCCCTCAGGGCTGGGGGATTCCAGTCACATCTCCTGGACCTCGCCCCCTTGTTTCGTGCGGGATCGAGATCAGCAGCGTATGAAACCTGACATTGTCTGTCGTGTCTGGTGGAGCCTCGTGCTGGTCCGAAACACGCGGACTGATTCATGAATGCCCTTCCGTGACACAGGAGACGATGTTGACGACGACGGCGACGACGACAACACTCGCTGACCAGGAGCAGGGGTGTGACAAGTGAAGAGACTGGGTTCACCATATTCCGTGAAGCGCGCAGGCTCGGACTTGCGTGAGTGCACAGGGCGCTCAAGCTTACTCCAGTGGCCCTCTTGCGAGCCTGCAGAGCCCTATTGCGATGGGGCGTTGAAGGAAAAAATCGCCACCAGTGCCCATCATCATCATCATCATCATCATCATCATCATCATCATCATCATCATCATCATCATCATCATCATCATCATACTCTTCATCAGAAGCATCATCGCCGACATCTTCATCATTATCATCATCATCAGATACACATCATCAGCATCAGCATCAACATCAGCATCATCATCATCATCAGCATCATCAGCATCACCATCTTCATGATAGGCATTATCAGTCTCAACATCAGCAGCAGCATCTTCAGCAGCATCACCATCAGCATCATCCTCATCATCAGCAACATCATCAGTATCATCATCCGCATCATCACATTCAAGCATCATCATCATAACCATCATCAATTACCAGAACCCGCAACCATCATCAGCATCATCATCATCAGCATCACCATTAGCATCATCACCATCAGCATCATCATAATCATCATCAGCATCAGCATCATCCTCATCATCATCACCATCACCAGCAAAATGATCCTCCTCCCCCACCTCCACCTCCACCTCATCATCATCATCATCATCATCATCATCATCATCATCATCATCATCATCCCCATCGTCACCATCATCATCATCACCATCATCATCATCATCATCATCATCATCATCACCATTGCCATCATCATCACCATCCAAATCATTATCATCATTACCATCATCATCATCATCATCATCAAGGTATCAGCAGCATCATCATACTCATCATCAACATCACCATCTTCAGCATAATAATCATCACCATCACCATCACATTTACAACCACCATCATCATGAACATCATCACCAACATCAGCATCAGTATCAACATCAGCATCATGACCATCATCATAGTCGTCATCAGCATCAGCAGCAACAGCACCACCATCGTCACCATCCTTCTCCTCCTCCTCCTCCTCATCATCCTCACCATCCTCGCCATCACCATCACCATCGCCATCGCCATCGCCATCACCATCATCATCGTCATCACTATCACCATCGTCGTCGCCGTCGTCATCACCAACTCCACCACCCCTTCCACCACCGCCATCATCACAGAGGTCCCCTGGAGGTCCCCCATAGGCCTCGGGAGCCTCCGGGAGCTCCAGGCGGGCCAGACACTCCGAGGCACCGAGCTACGTACCAGCCTGGAACATATCCCTATCCCTAAGCTGGGCATCGCCTCTTCACAGTGCCAATCTTAGGGATTCCCTTAGGTTCCCAGGGCGCATCCCTAAGATGTTCATCGCCTTTTGGCGTGTCAATCTTAGGGATAGGGATAGGTTCGAGGCTGGTGAGCTACGCCAGGCCCGGGCAGTGCGCGCTGGCTGCTCGGAGGCCGCGGGGGTCGCTTTCCACCTCGAGCGGGCGCGGCTGTCCAGTGTGGCCGCCGCCGCGCCGCCACGGCGCACGGCGGCCGCACAGATCTCCTCGAGGCTCGACCCGCCCTCGCTCGCCGCTGTCGGTCCCCCACTGGCCATCGCTCGGATGTCCATTTCCTGTGTTTTTTTTCGGTTTCGTGCGTGGCTTCTTCGCGAAATGATCAAGGATGCTCCTCGATGGTCCCTCGCCGAAAGAAACATGCACACGTCCGAGCGATGCCAAGCCCATCGATCCCGAGCTCGCCGCCGACCAGCCATAACTGGGGGAGCTGCGGTCCTTACCCCCCTGGGGGAACCCATCGCATCGACGACCTCTCGAGAGATGTGTCGAAACCAATGGGTCCCCCAGGGGGGTAAGGACCACAGCTCCCCCAGTTGTGGCTGGCCTGCGCCGCCCTCTCCCGCTCCCAGCACCCGCTCTGGGGGCAGGACGCACGGCACAGGCGCAAAAAAAAACGCTCGGAGGCGGCGCGCGGATCCCTCGGCTCCGCGCCGGACACCCCCCCTCCCTGGCGCGCGGAGCGCGCCAGGGGCGGCGCCGGAGGCTCCGCTGGGGGGGGGTCCCTCGGTACTCCTCGATACTCCTCGATACTCCTCGATCCTCCTCGGTCCCCCCCTCGGTCCTCTTCGATCCTCTCCGATCCCCCATCGTTCCCCTTCGATCCTCGATCCTCCTCGCAGACCCGCCGTCGATCCTCGAGGCTCCGTTCTGAGCAGCCATCTAAGAGACTCAGGAAGGGGGATCGAGGGGGCGTGAAGGAGGCGAATTAGCAAAACCGAGGAGCGACGCCCGTCACCAGAACAGTGCAAGCCGTCTGTATGGTGTGTGTGTGTGTTCGCTGGGTTTCCTTACCACCGCAGTAGAGCAGGTGAGTGAGAAGCGTGTGGCCACCTCGTCTCCTCTCCAAAGCCTGAAACATCTACGGAATCTTGTACAGCGGCCGGAACAGACAGATTGCCAGCAGCCTCTGCCGCTTGCAGTCTTGGGCCTCTTAAAGCACACGCTGGTTTTCAAACTCGCACCCTGAATAAACTCTGGCAGCAGCGTAGAGGGTCGAAGCGGTGGTGGAAACTCTCCGACCGTCTTATGCACAGATTCGCCAAACCATCCACTTCTCCTCTAAAAAGGGCCAGTGGGACCTGGGGATACCTTTGCGTTTTACAAGAACTCCTCCAGCGCAGCCCAGTGTGAGACATCACGGCAAGGGGGGCCCCAGGTGCGGCTTCGCAGAGGGCCCAGACAGCCTTGCAGCAGGCCGGCTGCCGCCTGGCCCTTCCGAGCACCCAAATCCCATCCCTCCCTCCCTCCCTCCCCGGATGTCTCCCCCCTCCCTCCCTTCCTCCCTCTTCCTCCCTTCCTCCTTCCCCCCTTCCCCTCCATTCCCCCCTTCCTCCCTTCCTCCCTTCCTCCTTCCTCCTTCCTCCCTTCCTCCGGGTGTCCCCCGGATGTCTCCTCCCTCCTCCCTTCCTCCCTCTCTCCCTTCCTCCCTGCACCCCTCCCCCGGGACCAGCCTCTCCTTCGGCCCTACAGGCAAGCGTGACCTCTGGTGTGCTGCTCTCGGGGGATCGCGGGAGGCCAGGCGCTACCGTCGCGCGTCGCGTTCGGACATCGGGGGCTCCCAGCGAGCCCGCACCAAAGGTTCCTCTGGCGAAGGGTCACTCCTTCGTGCAGTTGGCCCATCCCCGGTCGTTTCTTGACTGCCCCGGGGCCCGGCGAGGGCCCCCCCAGGGGCCAAAGACTGCCCCAAAAGACCATCCGTCCTCCCTGCCCGCTCCGATTCCTGCCCTTCCTCTGCCCAGGCTGGTCGTGAAGCTGCCTCCCTCGAGGGAGGCGGAAGAGGGCAGCAACGAGGGGGGGGCCACCACCTCTGAAGCCGCCCAGGGGCACACCAATGAATAGGCACACCTCCCCATCGGTTCCCACATTGCCTGGAACTCCATCTTCCCCCCCCCCGTTCCCATACCTCCCCATATTTCCCTGGGGATCAACGTGTGTTCGAGGCTGTGTGTCCCCCCCGACCCCTCCCCAACGACCCGACGAGGTCTGGGAAGGCTGCCCCCCCTCGTGCTCCGAAGGGGGGGGGGGGAGCGCCGCCCGCAGCCGCCGTGCACGGTTCCCCCAGGGCCGTAGGCGACCCGAGGAGGAGGAGGAGGACGAGGAGGAGATGGAGGAGGGGGACGAGGAGGAGGAGGAGGAGGAGGAGGGAGAGGAGGAGAGGAGGAGGAGGAGGAGGAGGAGGAGGAGGAGAGGAGGAGGAGGAGGAGGAGGAGGAGGAGGAGGAGGAGGAGGAGGAGGAGGAGGAGGCGGAGGAGGAGGACGAGGAGGAGGAGGAGGAGGAGGAGGAGGAGGATGGAGGAGGAGGGGGACGAGGAGGAGATGGAGGAGGGGGAGAGGAGGAGGAGGAGGAGGAGGAGGAGATGGAGGGGGGGAGGAGGAGGAGGAGGAGGAGGATGAGGAGGAGGAGGAAGAGATGGAGAAGAAGGAGGAGGAGGAGGAGGAGGAGGAGGAGGGAGGAAGAGGAGGAGGCGGCGGAGGACGGGTCGCCTAAGCCCTTCGGAGAAACCCGC